ACTATGCTGAGTGTGCTGACTTTTCGTACAATGTCCCACTGTCTGGCTACCTGCATAAAGTCAAGTGCTCGGCGCAGTTGTCGGCGAAATATCACTCCTCTGTTTTGATTTAAACAGCTCCTTATATCCGTTAGCGCAGCTAGCTAGCACCAGATGCTAACAATAACAGCAATACACGTAAGGTCTCTCTCTCTCGCGCCACACACACACACACACACACACACACACACACACACACACACACACACAGGGCGGCAGGAGCGGGGCTGTCAGCATCAGCTTGTAGATGGTATTTTAAACTCGGGGCGGCCGAGGATCAAAAATACACATGCGTTAATCGCGTTAAAATAGTTAGTGGCGTTAATTTTTTTATGCGTTAACGGGTTATTAACGCGTTAACTTGACAGCCCTAGTATTTAAGTTATTGCATCATACTGGCTTCTCTCTTTTTTCTGCAATTGGTGCACGTTGCGACTTACGAGGAACTACGAATCCTCCGAACAGGATCCACATAGAGGCGATGAGGGAGCCAAACGCCAGCATGAAGCCGATGAAGAGCCAAACTCGAGCGCCTGCAAACATAGATAAGAGAGGCTGCGTTACAGGGTGGACATTACATTTTTTTTATGTAGTTGGATTAAACTGCTTGACATGTATGTTGTAACACTATTACAAGGAAATGGTCTGATATTACAGCGAAAGTGCTGCAGAGGTATGTCCAGTAAAAAAGCCATGTATATAAATGGGGTGAATTAGGTGTTTGTGGTGAGATATACACAGTTGATCATATCCAATCATACACACCTGTCTGTCCGATGCAGCCTTCACTATAGCTGTCCCCTCTCACCTGGCCGTTGGAAACAGCATTGATCCTAGACAAGTCGAAGGAGAGAATTACAAACACATCAGCTTCTAAATAATTTCACTTCACCTGATTGCTTATCATGACAGACTCCATGTTAATAATTGTGTATATTAAGAATGCTTTTCCTTTAGATTTTAAGAAGTATGAGCATTATGACGCTCTCCCAAACTGCAGCCTTTTTTGAGCTGGGAAATCGAAAAAAAGGTCCAAGTTAATTGGTGCTTTCCACCATGCCCTGGAGCAGCTCAGTTCCGTTCAGGAGATTGGTTTCAATTTTTTTTTTTTTAAACGAGTGCGTTTCCTCTATCAATTCAGATTTTTTAGATTGTTTTGGTGTGAGCTTGGTGTTTGAGATATCCTCTGAAGAGATCTCTGCCATATCTCCAATCTGATTAAACAAGACGGCACTTTGTTTGGGATGCTAACAAGGCTAAACTATTTTTGTTTTAAAGTCAACAACAGTGTTGCTCTCCAGAACTAAATGAGGTCACGTGATAACATCTCATGACAAGGGGGGGGGGGGGGGGGGCAACTCCATACAGTAAGTTAGGCCTGGAGATGAGCTTTTAACCTGAGGCTGCTTTCAGCCGAGTGCACCCAAAATAATAAATAATGAAACTTATGATACGACCATATTGTCAAACATTTCCAGTGACAGAAACAGACTTCTGACAGAGTATGTCTCACATGAGAAAGGCCACTGTAGCGATGACTCCACAGGTGTGGTAGGCATGATGAAACTCCCCCTCTTCAGGATATTTCACTGCTGCATCAATGATGATCCACCAACCAGTGAAGAACTGCAACAACAAGATCCACAGTTAGCCACAGGAGTTTCATGAACGAAACAAACATGGATGTCAGAAAATGTGTAATAAATGTGTACCCTGGTAAAACAGGTATATAAAGCTCTGCATCAGAGGTGGAAGAATAATTAGATATTGTACTTGTGTGAAAGTTGATGTACCAAAGTGCAGGAATAGTCTGTTAGATTAAAAGTTAATGCATTCAAAATGTTACTCAAGTAAATGTACAAGCATCAAAATATAAATCAAAAGTAGAATGACTAATTATGCAGATTGGTCCATTTCAGAATAATATACACAATATGTTGCAAGAGAGTGTAATCAAAGCTGTTAAAGGTGCAGCTAGTTTAATTACTAGTATGGGGCAGGGTAGCTTGTAGATGTTCTCTAGGTGTTGCTAAAGTCTGATTTAAGTGTTGATTATATTTCACATAGCTAAACTAAATCTACAAAGTTACTAAATAAATGCAGTGGAGTAAAAGTACCTCAAAATTGTACTTAAGTACAGTACTTTACACCACTGCTCTACATAATAAATGCTAGGAGCCAGATGCAAACAAAGAGCAGGAAGGCCTTGCACTTTCATCTCCTTAGCTAGTTTGTTTGTTCGTTCGTTATTGAGAAGCTCATGTATATACCAGAACTCCAGCAGCTACAGAAGCGATGGCGTTTCTTCTCTCCCCCCAGTCCACATTGCACTCGCAGTCTCCGCACCGGATTCCGTCCAGAAAACCTGACATGACTCTGGGAAAGGGCGTAAGGTCAAAATGCTTTAAACAACAACATCAACAGTTTCCGGACATACTCAGTCGTTATGTATACAAGCCAAATGGAATTCACCAACAAATTGATATTAGAACGGGAAAACAATGTTTGTGCGCAACCGCAGTACGTTACTATGATGCTCAACTCCCTGGTTTATATACCAAGCAGCACCAACTATCACTAAGTATTTGTACACTTAACTCGGTAATCTATTCGACACCAAGGCTGACAATGTATCCAGTTTAAACTTGTAACAAAAACTACTAATATATAGATATATATATATATATATATATATATATATGTCTAGATCAGATACAAACAGGGCTGTGTCAACGGGTTCTTTTGTTCATAGCTCGCTTTGGCATTAGCAAACATTTCCTTGAAGGTTTCTTCTCGCTACGAAGTTGCTAAAAAATATAATATAATAACTCAAACGACAACAGTAGTACTGAGCGTAAAAACACACCCCGGGGTCATTACTTGTTTGTAGTGCCATTTTCAAAGGAATTCTTACCTTTTATTTTCGTTTTTGTTGATGTGAACCCCCTGGTTAAGCCCGATTTGTGCTTCCGATACAGCTCGGTCATGCACATGCGCAGTTCATGCACTCCCGTTTGATCGACGTTGATACTGGTGCGTTCAGGTGTTGTGGACAACGTGGGAATATGGTAACATTACAAGCCATTTAAAAAGTATACTATCAGGCAGGCCCACTTTGTGACATTATTAATAGATGATTTTACTGTAACGAATACATGAACAAATGGGAGTGGATATTATGACCTCGAAATATGTTGATGCTAAAAGGTAATGACAAATAAAACAATTTATCGTCTACCGTTTGAACATTTACAGTGCAATACAACAGTTTTAGTATAAAGTATTACATGTGCTATCTGCTATGTATGTTAAAAACAGTCACTAAACTATATACAATCCGACTTTGGAGTAATTTTTTCATTTTCTGCAGGGACAATTTCCGCACAAAAGTTTCGTATAGGAAGTACAAGTTTAGAACTAGTTTATGAACGAACCACTGTGAATAAGCATTTTGATTATACTTTCACATTCACTTCTAATAATACTGCAAGATAAGTTCGACTCGAAGCCGAAAATAATTTTTAAAAATCCACTTTTTCATGTCTTTTATACATAAACACGTGTCCCCTCTGTGCAAAGAGACTCTGAAAGTTCCAGGAACAAAGATTCACTGACTTTTTGTCCTGATCCATTTATGTAAAAACCTGTCTGAAAATGAGCTGATCAGATTTTGGCCACCATTAGCCAATAACCAACCAAGGTAACCCCCACTTCAGAGACATGTTTGTTTATATCTGAGACCTATTGATGAAAAACAGTATAATAGGGGACCTATGAACAATAAAATATAGTTAAATGATAATTTTAGAATAAATAAATGCATTAGAGATCAAATATGTGTGAAAAAGTTGTATTTATATTTTTGATTTCCTTGATTAGAGGCCTTAGCCTATTTGCATTGCTTACTCTGTGGATCAGTGATGCAGGTGCCGGGCAGCTAAATGTGCCTACTTGTTTAAAACATGCTGTTGATTGACAAACGTTTCGGTTATTTCAGAGAATCAGAGGCATTTTGATCATTTCACATCAACATGTTATTATATCTGTTAGAATTTTCTTTAGATGACCTTTAGAGTTTTTTTAAAACCATTTGCAGTGAGATTGGCACATCATGTGGGAGTCACATGGGGCCTTCGTGCAGGCTGCAGATCCCTTTCTTAATTCCCAGTTCTAATGCTAACTAACTGTGAACACGGTACTAAAGAAGACTTACAGTATCTGGGTCTGTTTGGATCAGAATCTACTTTATTGTTGATGGTCACATGGAGTAGACATTGAAAAACATAATTGCATTACAAAGATAGCATCAAGCTAGTGGTCCATACAAAATATCTAACGCATTACAATTTGAAATTATTATGAATTGTACTGCTGTTTATAGTTGATACATTGGAAGTGTCATGCAAGTCAGTACAAATGAGTAAACAAGATGACAATTGTCTTAATAGACTCCAAGCAACTGCAGGGCTACAGATATGGACAGGAAGATGACGCCAAAGTATCCAATGTAGCCGTAGGCTCCGTACATCCTCTTGGATGGATCTGAAATAAAACATAAAACAGAACAATGTTAACATTCAAAGTAGAACTATATGAAACAACAATGAACACTATTCTGTTGAGAATAGCCTACATTAAATGATCACTTTTATAACATTTCATTTAAATAATGTATATAATATGCCTATTTATTTTTGTTCTAGCAGTAAACTGGTCTATTATAGTATTCTACCTTATTCTGTATATTGTCATTTTTGTTTAGATTTATATTTCATTCTATATATTTTATTTTTAATTAATGTGTAATACTTGTCAACATGCTGCTGTGACAAAATAAAATCCTTTTACGTACATCCAATCTTATCTAAAGTGGAATGAAATCCAACTTGCATTACTTGTTTTAAAACCACTTAAATAATTGCAATATTTTAGACACCATGCATGTCTTAGTTGCCATTATCTTTTTCTCAATGCTATCTTCTGTGAATGATTAAACAAAACTGGGGGCAGGGGGGGTAATTCGTTTTTACACCACTAATATTTTAAATGATGAGTATTTTTTTGCAAATATACATTTTGATGAGTTCAACAGGATAGACATCACTCAGTATTGATGTAATTTTATAATCTGCCTATATTCCTTCAATGTCTATATGTGCATATAACTTTGACCCATATACTATGATATATATTTATATTATTGGTAGTGTGTGTTTTTAATGCGTTTTGCCAGCATTAAAATGTGTGCAACATCTTTCGGACAAAAAACAATAAATTAAGTTTGGTGCTTTTGCCCTCCATTAAATCCACATAACATTAACACAATATCAGTCTTACCTCCTGTGTAGTAGCCCCAGGCATAGGAGAACCTGCTGGTCACCCAGATAGCCCCCAGAACAGCCGCTGACAACTGAGATTATGAACAAACAGAAAACCAGAATTATAAACAGTTTAGGAAATACAGGGGTGACACAGTGTAATGGAAATATGCTGAGTCACTGTGACACTGTCACCAATGCTGTCTTTATTATCTGGAGAATAGATGCCAGAGTTCATGATGATTGCCTGCCCACCACCCTCCTACACATTTTTGTTTTGTAACACTTTAAGTAGTCCTTAAAATCCACTTATTGAATAAATATTATAGACATCAACAACAAAGTATTTTGTGTGTATGCAGGATAAAAGCAGGATACACATACCGGATACACAAGGGCTGCAATGGTCTGGAAAACCAGCCACTGAGCATACACCTCCAGGGTGTTCTGATGGGCTCTCTGGATGCAGTTGAAAACCTGATGCGTGTCACTGTACATAGTGGGATACTGCAAAATAGAGAGATTAAACATGTCATATTAAAGCTAGAAACAAAAAAGGAAAACACATCCAATAAAAGCATTAGCGTCCACAGAACTTTGCAACCTGTTTTCCTTATTTAAAGTCAAGTTATCTACCTTAACATCGAATTTCTTCCTCGCACCCCCAACCTTGACTGCTAAATACCCCAGCATGATCCAGCTGTAGAGGTATGTAAATATGGCATATCCAAAATTGGACGGTAGCACATTTAGCATATCCATTTCTGCTCGATACGTTTGCCTGTTTCAAGTTTTCAAAAGACTGCAACGAGCAAATCAGGGATCCGCGTATAGGCAAGTGAGGAGTCAGTGGGCAGGAACAGCAAGCAGATTAGCAAACAGATTCGAGGTTACATAAAAGATCGCGAGATTACAGAGCGAGGTTACATTTAAAGGGCAACACCACCATAATACTGCGTTTTAGGGATCTCGTTGCTTTCACATAATAATGCGCACTGAATTGATTGTTTGTTATAGGATTACATAACTGCATTCCTGAAACAAAGTCAGTAAATTAAAGATTAGTTAACAAAAAAATAAGCATGTTATTGCTAAATAGTTTACTCAAAATCTTCTGTTAGTTGTAACTATTTTCTAATGTTTCTTTCCATATTTATCCAGTCTTTTCTTTAGGCTACCTTTATTTGTCTAGATTTGTTGACATTGTTCTTAGCTATTATGTCAATATATGTGCAAGAAAGCCTTACACAAGTAGTCTAAGTTGAGAAATGTGAATATAATAACTGTCAAATCCCCTGAATGTGTACTTTCCTCATTAAAGTTCATTTAGAATTAAAGATTCTAAATGAAGGCTTTACATAACAGACACGGCATGGTATATTTGTATGTATCTATAATTTGTAGGCATATATAATAAAATGTTGCATTTCACCCCATATCTTTGTAAAGGTGGATTCAAACATTTTTGGTTCTCTGTTGTTTTGCAGCTAGGACAACATAATTGGATTATTTTGTTATTGTGTCACATAGTCTGAACGAACTGAAATAAATCGCCTTCTTTCATCTCGAATTCAGGTTGATAAAACATTAGTAATAAGGGCACAAGGAGGAAAAACGTTGGTGGCACAGTGAATCAACTCCTTTCGTTCATGAGTTTTGAACCGCTATGGGCGTCACGTGACTGGAATTTTCCATAGGCTTCGAAAGTAGATCTGCGCCCACAGCAACAGTAGTTACAAAACAAGCGACGACGACAGACGTCAGCCAAGAGACATCGACTTCGCTTTTGCTAATAAACGGCTACAAACTCACATATTTGATTAATATTCGTAATATATCGTCTTGATATACGTTTTGAAGGTTATTTTCTTACCTTGAATCGTTTACATCGACGTTACCACCAGAACAAAGCTACAATCTACACGGTAAGACCTTACTGCTAACTTCCGTCCGCTAGCATGGCTAATTTTGTTTGGCCAATCCAGATGTACTTGTATCCGCTGCTTTAAATGTAATATTACGTTGCAATGTCATTTAATGTATGTGTTAAACTTGTTATCAAATCACAGGCGAATGAATTTGACATGGTCTGGTTTGGAGTTACAGCAGCTGTTAGCTTAAGCTATCTTTAGCTTGCGTCATTCTGGAATTTTCCAGTAGGCCTCATCTCCGCCATTGCAGTTACGTCTATCTGCTCGCCATGTTTTGACATAGGCATATTTAAATAATATTACTTTTGCTCAAATATCTGATAACGCCAGTTATTAATAATTCGATCATAGCTATTTGAAAGCTAGTTAAAAGAAACGTATTAATATTTGTGTATGTTTTATTTCACAGCTTGTAGCAGTACACATAAACAATGGCCAAGGGAGAAGTAGCACTATCTAAAATGGCCTACGATCGTCAAATTGATGGCATCAAAGTCATCTTTGACCAGAGCAGCCCGGTCCCTTCTCGCTCCCGATCCAGGAGCAACAGTGGCAGCAAACCCACCTCTGGCTCCGGCCGCTCCAAGGGCCGTGTCAGCCGCAGGAGGCGCTACAGATCATCCTCCAGCAGCAGCAGCTCCTCGTCTCATTCCAGGTCCCGCTCTCACCCCCGATGCCACAGACCTTCTTCCCGTTGTCGCTGTGACAACCATCGCCGAAATGACCGTAGCCGCCAAGCCCCACCACGTCGGGACAGGGCCGGCTCCAGGTCCTCCAGCCACAGGAACAGGAACAAGAGGGCCGCGAGCCCCTCTTCCAAATCCCAACCCAGAACCCACAGCGGCAGCTCAAGATCTGGATCTTCAGAGGATTCTGTCAACCTGAGATTGGATGGTAAGTTGATTCTCTAAAATAAGGAAATTATAACTACTTCAATATTGATTTGTACAACTGATATAATCGTATGCACATGTTGTGTTCCCCAGACAAAGGAGAACTGGTCAGAGCTGCAAAGGCCACTGCAACGACAATCCTAGTAGTGGAGAAGGAGGAACTTCCTGAGAGTGTGGAACCAGTCCTGTCCGAGGAGTCGGTCGAGTTCAAAAGGGTGTCCATAGATACATGGGTGAGACAAGACCCTGAAAAGACTGAGTCACAGGTGGGTGCATTTCTGCTTCATGTTAACACAAAACACAATACAAAAATTAAGCTGTGTACATATTCTTAATAAAGGCAAACATGTTTTTTTTCATCATGGACTACACCTAAATACAAGGTAAGGGGTGTTGAGAATTTAGGGATAGCCAACAATCTTTCAACTTGTGCATAATCGATCTTTACCACATGCTTAATATTAATCATAGATCTTAAGCTGTACAGGATGACTTAATATTTTCATAATATAAGCTGATCTTAGCCGTTGCATCATTTTTTTAATCAAAGATACAGTCTAACGTCTACAGTTGTTTATCTTGAGGTCAATGTTGTGTTGAATTTCCTGTCTTGTGTGCTTGGACCCCTGAGGGAATACACATGCTCTCTGTATTTATTCCTGTCTTCATAGATAACATGACAGTGGTCTCCTTCACTCATCGGCACCTGGGAGTAAAGGGCTGTCATGTGACTTGGGTGACAACAATATGTTTGCGTGAAAGTTTATCTGGTACCTCCTTTATAATTTCCACGATGTGTAAGTTTATCAACTAGAGGCCTGCAGTTAAACAAACACATATGTAGATTACCTCACAATCAGACATGTACAAAGTCCATACAAATGCTAACTATACACATATATGATGCTCAAGAAATTCATACATTATATTACACTGACTCCACTTTCAAATTTTGAAATTTCCAATGTATTTATGCTTGCAGTTGAAATGGGTCGTTGTTATTTAGCAGAATCCTTCACTCGCTGATGGAGCAAAGGCGTGTGGACCGCATTATAGTGACTATCCCTGTCGAGAGCTAGAAACAGATGAAGAACTCCACTCCGTATGCCAAAGATAAGTTGGTTCACCAGCCGTGTGCTGAGCTGGGAAACCTACGTCACCACCATTCAGCCAATGTAGACAGAGAAGACATCCCTTTTTACTTGATCCTTTTTTTCTCTTTCATTTTATTGTTTTATTATGTTTCAAGGTCTGACTTTAGTAGGATTCAGTTAATGCTCGAGCCGAGTCTTTGACAACAGTGGGATGGGGGTTTTAAGTGTTGAAGTTAACACTTAAATAATTAACATGCAATAGAAGTGCTTCACAATTTGACAATGGGGACTATAACACATCTATATGAAGTTTACAAACTGTCAGAGCCACCCTACCATCAGCTTCACACACATATCTAACTAGGTGTGGTTTTCTTGTCTTTCTGAAACAGAGCGATGAGGAGGAGTCTGATGATGTATTCAGCCCCAGGATGTCCCCAAAAAGGAAAACTATCTCTTTCAGCATTAATGTAAGTGATTTCAAGTTAGCAGCTTCCTCCTGTTTTCCCCAAACTGTTAAAAAACATTATTCAGTTTGTCTTATGTCTTTTTTTTCTCCCATCTTCTCCCTCCTTAGAACTCTTTGGTGAAGCCCACGCTGGCGGCTCAGTCTGGAGCTAAGGTAACCTCCAGAGTGGACAGCTTCGACAGCAGGAAGCCCTACGGTCACTGGGTTCGGGTCAAATCAGGCAAATCTATGAATGCGCGCAAACACACATTCTCTACTACACACTAGTGTGTCAAAGAGTGCATGGACCCTGTAAATACTGCACATGATTTGTACATATGCTTCAACATATTATGGTCGCAATTTTTTTTCAGATGTTGAAAGAGTAAAGTGGGAACAACTGAAGAAATTCATTCAGGTGGGATATTTTTTTCCCTTTGTTGTATATTGTGATTTTTTTCAATAAAGATATTTATTTGATTACAAAGTTTTATGTCTGTTATTGTTTCATGCATCTAACTGCAATCAGTGACCTTTAAATTAAGAGCTTGAATTGGGAGTTTTTCCAGCATTGACTAAAATCTTTTTTTTGTATTTACAAATACCAAAAAGGTTATTTATCCATACTGGAAAATAACTTGCCTCTTACAAATCAGTTACAAGAGTATGTAAGTAGGGTATAAAAACAATTTATAGTGGGATAGGCCTTTGTCTTTTAAGTATCATCTTAAAAGAAACATAAACCTATCCACAAAAGAACTCAAACCAGAATAGCCAGGTTAGAAGCAGGTATCAAACGCTACACAGAATATGGCGGCACCCTGTGATTCGTGCAGCTTGAGGGTTGCAGTACGGATCAGTGACCACACGGTGGCAGTATTACCACAGTTGTCTGTCACTCGGATGAGTGTTGTTTCAGACTGAGGTTGATGTAGTCGCCTGGTTCGAGACCGTTGAATCACCATATCTGTTTTTTTTTTTAGGGGTTTCAATATGCGTGGCAATTTAGTTTAAGGATCAGGTTAGTTGATGCGGTGGTTCCTAATTTAAATAAAACCACGGTATCCATATACACACGTTTAAACAAATAAACTCAACTTGTTTAATGTAGGCTACAGACATTTTGATTCAGTTTATGCATAAATAAACCATTGAGACAAAAGTGAACATACATGGTTTTTAATATTTAATATCTGTATCCCCTATATGGAGATTTCACTTTTTTATATCATTGTTTACTTAAGTCAAGTCTATGATTCAGATATATATTTTTTAATGTATTTACTTTGACATCTACTTAAAGCAACAACAAATAATCATTCATTTACTGTATTGATGGCTGAATTCCATTAGCTTTAGGGCCATGGTATAGTGATCACAATCGAGGAATTACAGGCACTCTCAGCGATCTTTTCTTTATGACGGGAATCAGTGGATGGTTATTAATGTTTGGTGATCATCTGTCTGCTCTCACATGATGTGAACATGTTCCTTCTTGAATAACTTGATACATCGTGCTGTTCAGGCGGCTGCTAAGTGTGTGTGTGTGTATTTTAGATTTGATTAGTTCCTGGCACATATTAAAACTACAGATGTATTATTGCCAGAAGGTATCTATTGGATTAGATAGCGATCTGTAAAGTGAGTAATAAATTGTACTGCTCTTGAGATTTTCCAAGCTGATATTTAGATACATGTCACAATCTGTTGTAATAAAAAGGTAAAATCACACTGTTTTATGATGTCTGACAGCCAGACTGCGTGTCTCCTGCTGTACAACTCACCTGTTATTCTGATTCCTTGCTTTGATTAGAGATAAGACATGCAAATACATAACAGTCTCAAAGGAGCTGGAGCAGTATGTGAGAACAAGCGCAGACCCAGTTGACTTGTTATATGCCAGTATCATTGAAAAGCACACAAGAAAAGCAGAGTAGTGTCTAGTTTTAAAGGAGCCCTATTGTTTGTGTTTTTCCTTTTCTGTATGTGTTGTATAGGTTTTTCTAAATGCAAAGGCTAAAATCCAAAAGTTCCCTCCAGAGGGAGTCTCCCCCCTCTGCTAAAGGCATGAATTGTACTCCTTTGTTTACTTCCGTTACATATTGAAATCACTTCATAACACTTGTGCTTCTATTGGCTAGCTCTCCAATACATTGTACATGATATGCTCAGGGGCTGGACATCTCTAAGCAGTTGACCAATCACATAGGTGCATCAGCCATCTTTTTTGGTGTGGTCTGCTGGGGCAGGAAGCGCCTGAACAGCCTGGTTAAGAAGGCCAGCTCTGTCCTGGGGAGTCCTCTGGACACTGTGGAGGTGGTGGGAGACAGGAGAATCAATCAATGTTTATTTATAAAGCCCAATATCACAAATGTTACATTTGTCTCAGTGGACTTCACAGTTTGTACAAAATATCAGTATGACAATACGACACCCTCTGTCCTTAGACCCTCACATCGTACAAGGAAACATTATTTCCTTGTAATGGCAGCCAATGTGTCCCACCCCCTCCAGGACACCCCGTCTGCACTGTTCAGCTCCTTCAGTGACAGGCTGCAGCACCCCCGCTGTCTCACGGAGAGATACCGCAGTTCCTTCCCTCCTGCAGCAGTCAGACTTTACAACCAGCACGGCCCCTGGTAGACCCCGCCAACACTCAGACAACTAAAGACCACGACATCCCTGTTGTGTAATCACACCAACGTGGGCTCTGGTTTCAGACAGAGGGTGAAAAGAGATGTTGCAGTATGAGAAAAATAAAAACCTTTTTGAACATTAAAGCATGAAAAGATGTCACAGTAGAGGCACAAAATACAAATATGAACTAGCAAAATAGAGCACCTTTAAGAAAACATTTGCTTTTCTTGCAATGTATAATAGTCATACTTATAGAACTGATGAATATAATAGATTTATTTTTGTTAGCGCTTTTACAGGTGCTCAAAGACACTTTACAGATATCGTGAAAATAAAGGAAAAACAAATAAATATATATAGTTAAAGTCAAATTAAAATCAAGAAATACAAAAACAATCACACATCAAAAGCCAGATTGAAGAGGTGAGTGCAATATGTCATATGATTTGCTTAATCTATTTTTATAATAAGATTTGGTGCCAGTTTATTGCTTGCAGACTTTTATGTCTACGGAAAAACTCCCCAATTAAACTCATTGCTATGTATCCAGTCATTTCTTTATTGTTTACCATCTTTTAAATCATACCCATTTTGCTTTACTTTACTTGGCCTTGAAAGAATCAAAGGTGTCATATGATCTAAAAAGTTAATTTACATGATTCCCAGCCAACATCCTCTAGCTAATCAGATAAAACTACAAACAAATATCCCAATAATAAATCTGAAAATGTAATCCTTAACTGTGATACAGAGTCAGATATCAAAGACATTTAAAAGGCACCTCTACCTTTCATCATTAAAACATAAACAACGTGTGTCATGGCGTCTTTGCGAAGCCCCCTTTGAGGGGATCCTTAAAATGTCTTTTCTGGGAGGCTTGATTCATCAGGATTAGATGCAAGAGAAAATAAAGATTCAATTTGATACTGGTACACAAAGCCATGGCTGTGTTCTCTGCAGAGGGCATTGCTGGTGTTTTCACACAGACTGGGGGCCTGGCATGGGAACCTGCTGTTGTCTCATCTCTCCTGCAGTCACAAGACTTCCTGCTCATGTTCAGCTCGGGGCCAGTTAGTCGGAGATGTAGACGATAATGAATAAATTCAATTGCTCAATTGTTGGTCTTCATCACTTTATTTGGACCAACACCGAAACATTCTGTTGGCGGGCATCGCCGTGTTAATGTGCCCCAAGGTCTGATGGTAGCTACTTACTGGTGGTTCATTCTCACGCTCCAAACCCCCCCACCACGCGACCACACGCAGGAACCCACAGAAAAACAAACAAGTGTGCGAGATAAGTTGTCAGTGGTTTATTTAAAAATAAAAAGATTAATCATAACAGCTGTTTTCACCTCCATACCATACAAAGGACCACCACACATCACATTCATTCTTTCTCAGCTCTAGCAATGATATAACAACGAGTATTGTTGGCTTGTAATACATGAAAAACAAATGCACCCAAGCCTCCAGACTATGGCTGCAGAAGCTTCTAGACGGCTGTGCCTCTCTCCAGGTTTTGTTTGATCTCCGCTGTGTATTTGCCGTAGAAGCGCTCCGCCTTCTTGTTGAACTTGGCGTTCCTCTCGTTGATGTAGTCGATGTCCGCGTCGTCGTTGTAGGCCCTGCGTCTGCTGTACTTGGCCCGCTTCTCGATCCTGACGTGGGCACATAAAAGCAGCTTAGGCAGGATTTCACAAACCAGTGTGGCCACTATCCATGGCATATCCAATAACGATAATTGGCTGCAGGCAATTATTTTTTGGGGGGGGGTTGTGCGTTTGAATTTGGCATGGAGAGTGGCAATGGAAAACCAAACACGCATACTTGGAGGAAAATGCTGTCAATTTGTGAGCTCTTGGTTCTTCAAAGCATTGTTGTGCGTCATTCCCTGGCAACTGAACCCCTTGTCTAATGCCCCACAGTCACATCTCTACATCAGCCTGGGGCTGTCTTCAATACACAACAACTGAAGAGGACTGGGGCAACAACAAGGTGAAAAGGACTTGGTACAAAGACAAAAGTAACAGAACACTAAGGCAGACATTTCGTGTTGTACGCCTAATTGGTTAAATTGATCAGTGTTCTGACTTTGTAGCGAGTTCCATAAAGCTTACTCACAGTTACCAGAACACTCAATTCAGTGCATTTGGTTCTATCCTGAGTTATTCTGTTGAAGGTATTTCCACCCTCACATCAAACAGGCCCTTATTCACAAATTGACAGAGGTCACAAATTCATTCCTTCCACACATCATCTCTTATGACTGATCTTCTCATATTTCCAGACTCCACGCCACGTTTGCGGTGTACCAGTGCCGGGAACAAGGCTCTGAATGTACCCACTGTCTATCAGAGGCTCGGAAATAATTAATTTGGTAGACTTGCTAAAGCCAATCATAATTATCAGGGTTTTTTGCCCTTGTTGCCGTATAATGTTCAGTTATTCAGTCCTCGCCATCAAGCTTTTTCAGAGCTTCTATTGGGATGTTGAGTAAATGAGTTTTAATGCATCCTGTTTGTATGTGAATGCATTTAATATCCTTTTAAATAGCAGATGTTTACATACACATCTGCACTTTTCTATCAATAACTGGACTATGTAGTCTTTTATATGCCATTTTCTTTTTAAGGGTTGAGCCTAAACATGTTTACATCAAGTCATGGAGGGGATTCTATGGAGGGATCGTTTACAAACTAAGAGTCAGGAGAGGATGATTTGAGTGTGACTTACTGTTTCTCAACATCATCCACCATGCGGTCAATGCCATCCTTTGAGGGGACGTGGGTGCCGTGGATCAGGCTGTTGGACGTGGGGTGGAAGTCCACACCGCTGTGGAGCAAACGGCAAAGGACTTAGTCAAGCATTAATCACAGATAATCACATTTTGAACCTACTTAAAACTGACTTCTCTATTCCATCATTGTGATGGTCGTCATCTAACGAAGAAAGACGGATCATTTGCATCAGGAGGAAAACGTGTGTGTGTGGATCCTTCACGGTTCTGCATGAACGTCAGGGTTTTCAGAGAAGCCTGCAGGCGCTGAACTCTTCTTGCATATTAGCATGCACTGCACTTTAAAACCCCAAATGTATTTAGTGTGTTAATACTTGCCCCGGGGCAAACGAGGGGGGACATAACCAACGTATAGAATATGTCTTGTGCACATGTGATGGGTTATTTCTGGGAAGTCCACAGGAAGCAAAATGATACAATTCATTTGACTTGATGAGAAATGTCACAGCTACGGTCCCAATAGCAGAGAGGTCATCATCTTTTTTTACGGCCATGTTTGTTCCCATGTTGAGCTTTTTAAAGAATGAAAACACAAATACAGAACTGTCACAGTAAGACAAGATGGTAAGGGGCTTCACTCACCATTCCTCCCTCTGCTTCTCGTAGCCTTCAAAGTCAGGTCGGATCTGCTTGGTGAGCCTCTGGTACTGTCGGAACTGGGCCTCGGCATAACCTGCAGTCCATTGTGTGAGAGATATGAAAACTGAGTTATAATTACCGGAACAAACGGCAAGCAGGATGGGCACAACCTGCAGCTCGTTAGGAGGAGATGAAGAGGCAACTCCTCCTCCTCCTCTCTTGAAGGCCTTCTGGGGATCATTTTCTCCCCAGAGGTTTTAATTCAGAGGAGGTTTTGATGCAGCAGATGGCCGCCATATTCAGGAAACACAGCAAGTCTTTTTTTTTATAAAAGGAGATTAAATTGGGAGCAGTTTGAGATGATTAACATCCCAAGGGGTTCTAACATGCAACCAGCACGGCTCGATACTGTCTGCTGTGTGGGATTCAGAAAGCCGTGTTCTCACTCTGTGGATAAACTTCTCGATCATATTGAAAAGAAAAGTAGAATCACAATTGTAATTTAATACAGAATCCTCAAGAGTAGACTATTAAATTACAATTTAATAATATGAGTAGACTGGTTTGGTAGCCTCATATCTACAAAAAAGTAGATTGATTACTTTATTACTTCCTGACGTGATTATAACAATTCCAAAGTCAAATCCACTCCAATGTTATAAATAATGGATGCTGACATTGATCGTGCTAGGTGTCAAAACGACAGAAATGTTGTTTTCATTGATGACGAAATGTGTAACTGGTATAGTGCCCGTTAAAAATGGGACCATTTTTTTGCCATCACGTATTGCTGGATCCACATTGTATATGATATAACTTTATCACAGCAACTTTTTTTGTATCCATCACCACGACGATGGCCAGGCACACAGAAAAAGATATGCTGCAATCTCTGAGGAATGAAGCCGGTCAACCTAAATCAGGATAATACGCCTGGGATTTTTATTTTTGGGAAATTAAAAAAGGTAAGTAAAAGAAACTGATTCTAATTGAAGTTTTTTGTTAGCAATGATTAATGAACACTTGATGACATGTCTCATACTCTATGTCTTGTATAAAACATGTAACTAAAGAGTACGCTGCAAACAATCTATATCAGTCTCTACTGGAGACCCAGCCACCAACCTGCAAAGCCTTGGTCCGGGTTCTTCTTCTTCTTCTTCCTCTCAAAGCGCTCTGCATCATCAGCTGTGATTTCAAGCAGTTTCACTCTGTGATAGTCCTCTCCTTTGTCAGCACATTCCTGCAAGACAAATATTAAAACATGACTCTTTCATATGACATTTGATAAGTAAAGTTAAGTGTACGGCAATATTTAAATGCATTGGTGGAGGATTATTGATTATTTGAATGACGCCTGGTGAATAATAACTTCCCTCTGAGGGCAAACAGTTATAGAGGGTGCTGGGATGATGTATTTTTGTAACCCAACCCTGAAAGTTGACATTGTGCTAGTTCCCTCAACAAAACGCCAATGAAATTCTCCCATTAGATTTTGGAACTTTGCAGCTAATATTCATCCATTAAAATAAAAACATTGACGGGAAAGCTAAAGTGCTAGATTGCTAAATCATTTTCAGGTTCGGGACATATTCCTACACCACGCTATATCAAATCTAGACTAGAAGATATGCATGCAGGGCTCGACATTAGAAATGGCCCACTGGCCCGGAAGCACTATTTAGACACCCCGGGCCAGCATAGCGTACTTTCCACTTGCCTGCTCGGGACACTCAAAATATTGCTTTAAAAAGAAAATGGTCCTGTGGTATTGGTATTTTGACAAGCAATTTTGTTAAATTGTTTCGTTTATTAACGCTACAACATAGCGTTTCGTGAGGCGGTTGTCGTTGTTGGGTGAAAAGCAAACTGTTTGCTGCAGAGCGAGCAGGCTCCCGCGAGCGCCCGGTAACAGGCCAAGCGCCGGGCTAAAAACAATCTTCAAATAAAAGAATGTCACTGGAAAAGTTAAAGGAGAGTGACAGGGAGTAGGAGAAGAAGAGGGAGAGGAAGTTTCAGCCACACCGGCTTGATCGATGGAGTTGGCTTCAATATGATGATATCAACAGGGTCTTTTGTCGGCTCAGTACATCAATGCCGACCTATGCCTGACAAGTAAGTGAAGAGTCAGACAATATAAAAGGTATTGGCTATAAGGGAAATGTCCCAGCAGTTTGGATAAGGAAGGTTCTAATCTATTACATAGCCATTACATGTCTATCTCCTGATGACAGGAAGGCAGAAAGCACATTATACAAATAATAATATACTCACAATAATAATAACAGCAGAATTTTTTTAACAATGACCACAATATATAATTATTTTAATAAACCAAATATGAAGAATTGAGGAAAATGAGGAAGAACTGATGATTCAAATGTTGTAGTACAAGTAGTAATGTAGTTTGTGCATAAATTACTATTGCAACAAATGTGTTAATTTTCTTCATTATTAGTCGATTTCTTTGCACGAATGCTTTTGGGCCAGTGGTTACAATGGTGGGGCCAGTGATAATACAATTCCACTGGCCCAATTTGACCCTTAATTTCTACCCCTGGCATGTAAACAGCCTAGCGGGCATCAGAGAGAAATGTATCAAATCAAACCCAAAGTGGTATTATGGTAGCACTCTTTCTTAGTCAGTGCAGCTTGACTAAAACATAATATGTTGCCCCTAAAAGTACCCATCCTAATGAGTAGTAGCCCAGCATTCAGTTTTATGTAAAGTACTTCGGCTCCATTATATAAGTCAATGTATGGGGAGAGATGCCATTGGACACATACATGGTTCGAAGATCAAGCCTAAAAACGTATGTTTGTTAACACGGCAACTGTCTGATTCGTGATATCATATTGAATATGCACGGTAGTTCATGAATACTAGACTTAAATACCTTTTTCTTTGCGTCTTCAGCAACCTCCCACTCCAGTCTGGCTTTCTTAGCCTCCCAGTTGGCAGGGAGCTTCAGCCTCTTGTCTTCCTCCACAACCTCCTGGTGGTTGAGCTTACGGGCTTCATTCTGCAGTGGAAAACAACACGACATGTTGAACAAGTAGCTGTATGAAAGTGACATTTAACCAGAAATACACTGGCTGGGGCAGACCGTGTTGACAGATGTCTTGTTGAAGGTGTTTTTCACCTGCGACAAAATAGTACGTAGTAGCTTAGAAGAGCCACGAAAATAAAATGTGTCTGGATAGCTTGAGTGTTATAACAAGGTTGGGTTAAAAGTTTAATACTCACCCGTTTCAAATGTAAGTCTCTGAATTTCAGTAGTCTCTCTTCTCTCTTCTGGGACGGTGTCTGTCCCTCTCCTAAGGCTGTGGCAGACGTCTGAAAAAAGCCAGTTAACGTTACATTCATCTAAAGTCATTTAAAACGAGCCCAATTACACTGTAAATGAAGTGTAGTACATTACAGGAAAGTTAACCGAGAGTATCAGGCAGCGATAGCTTACGTAAACATGGACTCGCTAACATCGGTTAGCTTAGCAACAACAGGAGGTGGTAAACAACAAGTGTGGAGCAGGAACACAGTATCCACCGGCGAACTTAAACACCGCTTTCACAGAGAAATATACTCATATAATGTCATCGAACAAAATCAAATAAACTCGGTAGTTTGCCAATAATATTGGGAAAATACTCACCACACTACAGGACGCCATTGTTAGGCCTGTGCTACACGGATGAAGACAGGAAGTATCAATCACATCCATACCGGATATGACGAAGATAAACGTTTTTTTTTCTTTTGCCAGACAAAATAAGGCCTATTTTTTTACATTTACAACAATATATACCAGACAAATAACAATTTCCAAAATGTCTAGATTTTAAAAACATTAATCATTTTTTTCAATGATTAACTAGTATATTTACCAGTATTAATTTAAATTTTTAACTTGATGATTGATGATATAATGAATACAATTAATCTATTTTCAAATTTGAATAGATGAAATGCGTGTAAAGACATAAACAATTATATAATATATATATATCATTATATAATGATATATATACATATCTCCTGAATTTTCTTTATCTTATTTAAATTAAACATTCCAGGTTTATTGCATATGATATGACAATAAACCTTTGAATTGAATATATGCACGCACGCACACATGCACGCACACACACACACACACACACACACACACACACACACACACACACACACACACACACACACACACACACACACACACACACACACACACACACAGACAGACAGACAGACAGACTGACAGACAGACAGACACACACACACACGACACACACACACATACACACACACACAACGACGCACACATGCACGCACACACACACACACACACACACACACACACACACACACACACACACACACACACACACACACACACACACACACACACACACACACATCTATGTGGGAAAGTGTAGAAGCAGACAGGTCTAATGGATCAAATAAAAGTAACACTACTTAAAAAGGGGCCTAACAACAAGAGGCCAACAGTGGTGTGTCTACCGGAGTCGATCATAACAAAATAATTGACTGGTATAATAAATTAGCTTGTGACCTCCCAGAAAAAAGCGTGCATTGTTTTTTGTTGATTAGATGGTATTTTGTAATTTACCATATCTCCTAGATTCTCTTTATCTTATTTTAATTAGACATTCCAGAAGTGGACATGAATCTATTTCAAACCATTTACATCATCAGAAGAAACTAACTTTAATTATATGCTGCAATCTAATGTACCTTTAAAAAAAAAAAAGAATTATGACACCATGACAAAGCAATTTCCAAGCATCTTGTATTCTACAGAAATGTCTTTGTGTACTATTGAAAACTAGGCCAACATGCTTCCTTTGAAGTTTAAATTCATAGAAAAATACTGCTAGACTAATGGAAACTGGCACAACGCATACAGGCAGCAATTATGAATATGACTGGAGGTTATACAGTAAGAGGCGTGAAAGGTCAAGCATAAAGTCATCAGTGTGCCACACAGAGAGTCTCTTCAGACTTCCCTAAATTCAATTTTTTATGGTTGTTTTTGCTGCAGAGAAATGGAATTCAATGTATTAGCAAGGCATGTTATTTTGACCGACAAAAATCACAAGTATCATTAGGGCTCTTGGACCTGGGACCTCCAAATATGATTCGATGATCAGATGAGAAGATGAAAGAAAACACTTTCAAAAGCCATTTGAGCATGTTTGACTTGCCAAATGGATGTGCTCCCTGTTTGATTGCAATATACTAATAGAGCTCTTTTGGAGGATGTAATTAAGTGGAGTTTATAGTCTCAGATTAAAGCATCCTCTAGATCAGAGGCACTGTTAATGGAGTGATGCATTTTCACTGGAAACCAGATGGGAGCACATCACAACAGAACGAAACATCATTGGCTGCAGTAATGGGAAGGGCTCTTTAACCGCCATGAAAAAGAGAAAACATCTTCACAATAAATGGCTCTCAAACGAAGAGAGAGAAACAGCAAAGAGGATGAAGCTAATTACCATTTCCTATTGATTTAATTCAGATTGGGAAGTATGCAGAACAGTTGCATTGGAACAGGAGTAATGTCGTGTGTGTGACTTTGGAATGTCCAGACATCGATACAAAAAGAGCATGAGAGTTAGCATATGTATTATGGGTGTGTTTCTGTCTTGAATAGCTGTTGATCTCTTTGTTGATATAGGCCAGACTTCCTTTAAAGTTCTATGAGTATTTTCTCATATGTTGACTAAACTCCCGTCAGGGTGCATTCACTGACTGGCCTTGAACACAGAACCGGTCAACGAGAACTCATGGATTAACAATTTAATGTTTAATAAAGTCAAGGGTCACTGTAGTAGCTTCCTTTTTTAGCAACAGTTACTGGGAATTTTAAAATGTTGGGGTAGTTTGTGGACCTGACACATGGAAGATACTGTATATTATAAAGATGAGAGAAAATGAAATATACGCAAAATAAAGGAACTTGGTTTTCGAGTTTGTCTGAGCATTACTGTAAGTTTAAGTACATTTTGTTACAACACTCTAGGTTTGATTAAGGCAAAGTAAATGAAGCCTTTCAGTTCATTTCTGTGCCAGTGTTTGTCACAGGCAGTGTGAGGATCTAATAAGCAATGCTGTCGTAACCATTTAAGGGTTAGTGGAGTTGAGCGCAGTACGACGTGCATCTCACACGTGTCGGGCCACCCAAAAATGCTGAACAGCCTCGCTTGGATATTAACTTTTCCAGTCAGGCAGATCTGGTCTGAAATAAAGTAACATTATATCTGCAAATAAATTACAATTTAGGGGCACATTTATGAATTCAAAGCAGACTTCATGGTTCTTCGTCAACATTAATCAAACTGGACATGATATTAGTTCACTTTGTACATGCTGTGAATGCGATACTTTGTTTCTTGTACACACAGACATAGATTTAACTGGCGCTGTTATCTTGCTCTTAATAAAGGTTCCTCTAGATAACACGTGGGGGGGCAGGGCCTCTTGCTGTGCAGACAGCTGCTTCACATCTGGAACTTAATATAAACATCATGGCCAATAAAATCATTCCATTTCCTTAATTACTATTCCTGTCATTTCCGCACTAAATGAAAAGTTATTAATTCGGGGCCAACACAAACATGCTTCTCCAATCCGAGGAGCTGCTCCTGAAGCGTCGCCACCCTGACTACACGCCGCTGTCACTGGACTGAAACCACAAGCTCCCGCCCCGCTCTGCCAGCGCCTGTTTGTGTGATCCTGAGTTTGCGTATGCATAGGAAACACAGGCCGAGGCGCCGCAGACATGAATGGAACACAAGATGGCGTCCTGTTTTCCATCTCATCCACTGGTGCCAGTATAATCATGACAGGCACAAGCCGTCCTGTTTCATCTCTCAGCTTCCTCTTCCACACTCCTGTTCTTCTGCTGCTTCTCTGTGTGTTCAGCACATTCCCTGCCACCTTTTTCTCCGACCAATTTATTCTACTCATCCTCTAAATTCATTTTCTCCAGTTTTTTCCCTTTGACATGCCTTTCTATGCTATCTAGTCCATGTAAGATGCAGGCACATTGACATAATTCACAGTATATAGTGTGATAACAAGAAATATAAAGAGAGCATCCCTCTGAGAAATATTTTGTGCGGCTATACATGACCTAAGTGAGAAATTGCAATCCCTCACAGGGTCATATGTCATCTAATTTTCAGTTGAAACATTCCTCACAGCCCATCATCTCTAACCGTCCCTTGTTGTCAAAGTGCTTGCCATTGATTTGCTGCTGCTGCTGTTAATCATATCCAAAGGGCATGTATGAATGAAGGGAACAGTTAGCCATTTGGATGGGAATCCTTGTGAAACGCCTGACGCCAAAAGCATCTTTGTCAACACAAATGCCAGTGTATGTGTGTCCTCATAGATGATGTTTCGCCACATTAAATCTTCCCCTGTAGGCAAAATAATGCTAATATCCTGTCGATCTAAGTGTATACATTTGACACAGTAGCTTATTTGACTGCAACTGACGCCGTTCAGAGGCCAAGAGAGGAAGAGGATCTGGTGAGCGACACGTATACTTACACAAAAGACGCATGTATGCACTCAAATACCACCAGTTTTGTAGTCAATGCTTTTCCCTCCACCACACACAATTAAAGTCCCAATTAAAGGCCATTATGGGTTTTCCACTCGCAGCGACCGCAGGGAGAGCAGCTCCATGGCCCGTACATTGCGGGCACACAGATGTCTCCTGTGTTGTCATCCAAAGGAACTCAGACTCATCCACAAACTTTATGGTCATAATTACTGATCAAAATTAAAGTGCAACAACAATATAAACTACGCGATAAAAAAAAAAAGTTTGAGCGATTCCGGTAAAATGGGCCAAGTGGGACTATCAGAGGGAAGTGTTTGTGATTGATTCATCCTGAATTATAAAGTATGCTAAAATGATCATGAGCAGTGACTGGAGCCATGTCCTTCAGAAGTCTATCAAACTCCCATTTACCACCAGAGGGAGGCAGTTCCCTGATATTTCACGTGAAATGACACCCACAGTCATATTGCTCTTTGTTATACTACTTTTATTATACTTTCAGTTAATTGACGAGCAGTATTTATCTTTTATTTTGGCTTTTTCTCAGCATAGTTATTATTGTCATAATAGTTCCAAGTGCCACTTGAGTGAGATGAGAGCTTAACAATAATGTATTTTAATTACATTTCATTATAAATAATGAGGTAACGGCATGCAACCTCAGATGTAACAATGTTAATTTCATTTTTATGTTGTGATCACTAATGTGTTGTTACCCATTGTGAGTATTTACATATTTGAGAGAAACTTTTTTTTTTAACAGAGGAATTGAAATCTGAGTGAGAATATCAAATAAAAAAAGCCACATTTCCATGATTATTCCTTCTTATGCACTTGTGCTTCCTATCTGACAGCCACAATCACCAATAGATGCGAGTTCTCACCGCAGACGAAAAGCACTGAGCTCCTTATCTGCTGTGATGCATCCCTTCACCACCGTACCCACACACAAGTTCAACCCGAGTGTCTCGCCTTGAGCGGGGCCCAAAAAGCGTCATGGGTTTCCGCTTCTGAGTTCCCATCCTTTCCGCCAGTGAGCCGAATGAAAGAGTAAAGTTCTCACTTGGCCAAACAATGCACTGTTGTCGGGGCCTGCGATAAGAGGTGGCCAATCAACAG